ATGAGAAAATTCATATGAATTCTTCACGATGTTCAAGTGTCTGTCGTTACTTTCTTAAGCTTCAATCATATAAATTTCGCTAATTTATGTTTTGCTCCATGCTTGTTGTTGACTATTAACCTTAGTGGTTTTTCTTCTTTGTGTATTTTCGGTAGTCCGTATGCTTTTGGTGGTTTTGCATCATTTTTTGTTAAAGAATTCATCATGCATCTGTCGATTTTTCCGTTTTCATGCATTTCCTTCAGTATTCTATTGTTCTTCATTATTGGATCCTTTACTATTTGATAAGTGTTCCGGTAGCCTAGGATACTTTCCATTTTTTCCGTTTACTGTTGCCTGTCCATTAATATCGTCGCACCTCCCCTATCCACCTGAAGAATTATTTTGTCATTAATTTGTACTTTTCTACGTATAGTCATCAATACACTCTTTTTCATTGGCTCTTGATGGGACAGAATTATCGAGATTAATTCCATTTCCATCTCTCGTTTGGTCTCTTCTGGGTAGTTCTCTGAGATGTTGATAGCTTCTGCAAGGATATCTTCTAAGATTTTCCCTTCGTTACCGGGTGAAAAATTTAACCCCTTAAGGAGATCCACTGCTTTGGAATCAAGAGGGATTGAAGATAGGTTCACTACCATATCCCCAGCGTCCTTGTAAGGAGTTGATGTCATTAATACCGGAACATCATGATTTGGTCGGGTTGGCTGAATCATGCGCTGTCTTATTATCCTATATCTAAACAATTTCTTGCCACACCGGTTATTTCTCAAATCCATGACCCACTGTGACTTCTGGTCAGTAATACTCTTGAGTTTTTGAATATCATCCTGGGTGAGAACCCTGCCTAGATCCTTCCTTAATATAGACCTAATATCTATTTATTTAAATTGCTTACTCCTTTCAGTCCCGTAACTATCCTCTAATTTCCTGATGGAGGCGGGATGAAGTATTTCAATAACTGTGTCCGATTGACATTTCCGCATTAGCTTGCAGAACCCTGAAGCAAAAACATAATGCTTGCTTGCGGTCATAGGACATAACGATTTGTGTATCATAGATACGGTGGCAGCGATAGAGTGAAATCAATGAAGCGGACGGATATGGGAAGGATCCTACGGAGCAAGAGGGACACTGATAGGACCCGAAGGGAGAGGATTGCGGATTGAACCGAACCTTTGGACTAACACTCCAAGCACAGTGGGAGGGATGTGGAAACCAGCGGAGAGCGTTTGCTTAGGTAAACAAATAAGAAATTGTTATATTAAAGGGATGATATAATAATATAGGATAGATGAATAGCCCAGGACATAATGAGAGATTTCACAACTGTTTAGCGCACAATTTGTCAAAGGATCGACTTCATTTGTCTCTTTGACGAGTTGTAGTGTGGTGCTAAGAATGGCAAGGCCAACTGACGTTGCCGGCGAAACGTCTAGGAATGTATCAAGTACATGATCCGATTCTCGAAATTATCATGCATACTATGGACTCCGGACAAGATGGGTTCCTCTAGGCCTTCCCTTCCGATATGACCAAGTTGCGAAAACCAGGTCAAACTACTTCTGACTTTCTTAAAGGTTTTAACCAGTCTGCATTTTCTCTAATTTACGGCCTAATATTTCATTTCTTTCTAATTTTTTATCAGTGAGAAACATCTAGCCAGAGATGGTGCCCTGCGCGTTCTAGATTTCGCGATGGCGCCGTCTCTTTCTAGTCTCTCTTCCACTGGTTCTAATGAAAGTGAGACTATAACTGGCTTGAATAAAGCGGTAACCGAAGAGGACCAGACATCAGCGGCAAACGCCAACTGTGAAAAGTTCGTTGAGATTCTTGGGCTACGTACAATTTTCCCACTTTTTATGCATGGTGTGAAAGCGCGTGGTCTAAAAATTACTCCAAGTGGAGGCAATCGTTTTGAGCCAGAGAAGACTCTACCAGGACCGACATCAGAGGAAATGGAAGAGCACATTATCAAGTAATTAAATCCTAGCTACATAAACTTTTGTGAATAATTTGCTTCATTTCTGGCTATTTTGCTATATCTGTTGATATGAATCATGTATTTAAATCCTTACCCCTATCAGTTTCTACTCGATGCTTTCTATCCTATCATTAAAACCCTTATTTCTTCGATCACCTTTGTCGCAGTGTGAATATCAGGCTGTAACTTTTGGCTTTTCCAAAACATTACGTGTTTGTCTATCTAATTTTGGGCAGAGAAGACTTTCTTTTATCGAAAATTCTACACACAGACAAGGAGTCTGATACCTAGTTCTGCTTTCCCTTTTATGAATGCGTTTGGTCAGTGTTTGATGTTCTTATTTTCAACTTATAATTACTTGAATCTTTAATTTAAGGTACTCATTGATTAATTTGTTTATTTTAAATTGGAATAATATATGAGGATGCATTACGCATTTCTAGCCTTACTCTTGGCCTGAGTGGTTTAATGGTGTAATGAACTTGACTACATCATATGTTTGTCTGAACAGTTGTTTATTAAATAAAAATTTTAAATTTTTGTGTTGCGTTGTATCAACCCTCAGGTTTTCCCTTGTTCAGTCCTGTAAATATATGACAAATTCTAAGCATGAAGGACTAGTAATTGAGTCTTCCCATGATATCAGTAGAGCCGACGTTTCCATTAAAGTTCACATAGCCTTGCTTTCTTAAAGGTACTCTTATCCTTGTTGGACTGCAATGTGGTGTAGTGGTTAACGTGCTGAGATAACACGCTGCACTGATATGGTTCGAATCCCTCTAGGTGAGTTTATACGACCTAGGTAAGGTCAAAACTGCAGTCCACCCTGGATGAGAACACCCTCTGGGAAAGCAAGTTCATGTGAAATTCAAAGAAAACATCAGCTCTACTCATATCATTGTGGGAAAATTGAACTACCAGTCCTTCACCTTAAACGAAATAAGGTAAACATAACTCATAGACCTGATTTACTTATAGTCTCGAAAACCTAATCAAAATTAAATATAATTCTAAGCATTTTGCCATCTACCGAGTACACCCGTGGTAAACAGACTTTACTGCAAACAAATTAGACCGATTGGAATACCTGTTTTTTGGGCCAGCCTAACTACATGATAAACTGGAATTTAATATAATTCACACAAGGATATTCGTGTTGATTATTAATGCTACATCAGCAAGTGTTACAATTACATGATGGCTTCTTCTATGAACTTCTTGGACCTTAGTTGGCATTATCAAAATATCTTTTTTCTCATTAAACTTCTTTATTTTTTGTGTCTTGATATAATTGGATCCATTTTAATCGAAGGTATGAAGACCAAGAAGGTATGGCCTTTTGTGTGGTCGCAGTCTCCTTTCGTTGTATAGAAGTTGTTTGACCTTGTTTTCGCAACTCGGTTATTGGTAGGAAGATTCAGAGGAGCGCACCTAGTCCGGAGTCCATTGTATGCATCATCATTTCCAGAGTAGGACCGTAAATGTGGTACATTCCCAGACGTCCACGGTCCTACTCTGGAAATGATGATGCATACAATAGACTCCGGACTAGGTGCGTCCCTCTAAGTCTTCCTACCAATATGACTGAGTTGCGAAAACAAGGTCAAACAACTTCTGAATCCATTTTGCTTATATTGTTTGTGAATGCCTGACACAAATCTCGGCTATTTTCAATTCTGTTATTCTTTGAAAGACTGCTTTAGTGTTTTGTGTCTATGGGCAGCCCATGTTCTTTTTTATTATTTTATTAGGTATTTTTATATGTTCTTTTTCTATGTAGTCTGGCTTCCGAGGCACCATACAATTTAAGGACATTCTAGAAAACTTCTTTAATTTCTTATATTTATCGCCAAATGAGTATAGTTCATCTTAGTACGTTACCCTGATAAATTTTCACTCACTTGAATCTCCTATTTTCTTAATTCTCCACTTTCTCTTTTATTATATTTTATACTTTTTAAGTTTCATGAGGCTTACTTCCCAATTTTGTAAATATCATGAGTACTTTAAACAGATTGAGTATAGCTTTATATCTGCTTCGAGTATATGCGTTGCAGCAAACTGAATTAAAACAAGGGAAAGTACGTATAAATGCTAGTGGAGAATTCGGAGGGCCAAATGATGACAGAAAATATTATTTTCTGGTAATTTCATCTTTAAGTAATTAGTAGAACTACCTGATAATAGATGGCTGTAATTACTTCTTAATTTATCCATATTTCTTCCCTGTTGACATTGCTGCATGTCCATTCCGGCTGAACAGCTTTATTTTTTATCCACATATGTCTTTTTCTATATGCAGCATAGTTGCAGGCCTCCTTCGCTTTTGCAATGGACCACACAAAATGCGAATTCTTGCCAAGTTCACTGAAAATGATCACGAAAAGGTTGATCGTCTTGTCGAGTTTCATTTTAAATATGCTGATCAAATTAGAGCGACTGAAGAAAAGATTGCTAAGATGCGAGCTGTAAGTTTATTTTATCATCATAGCTGATGATCTCATCATTTATTCTGCTCCTTCATTTTTTTTCGTTTTATAGAATCCCATAGGTCATAACCTCTAGACATTTTATTAAATGACACCAAGGCCTAACAGGTCTAACAGAAGTATAACTGATGCAACTATTCGAATATATGAAGATAAAGATGTTGTGGTCCCCGCTATGGTTGCAGATTCCTTTCGATTTATAGAAGTGGGTTGATCTCATTTTCGCAACTTGGTCTTGTTTTCAGGGCGAATTAGTAGAATGCACCTTGTCAGAAGTTCGCTGCCATAGTATTTATCATAATTCACAGCATCAGACCGTGGACTTTGTACATTCTCAGAGGTTTTGCCGGCATCGTAGTCGGCATCATCAGTGAGTGTTACCATTCTCCGCACCAAGCTTCGAACTTGTCAAAGAGACAATTGAAGTCAATCCCTCGACCAACGTTATGCTGAATACGGTTACGCTATCATTCTTCCTGTTATGACCCAGCTATTAACTCTATCCTCTTATCCATCTTCCGCCCTATCACAATTTCTAACTTGTTTACATTCTATTCGCCGGAGTCGGATTAGCCGAGCGGGTGAATAGCAGATGTGGTGAGGCCACACTAAATTTGCCAAAAAAGACTCACATCTTGAAGAGTGGAATATAAACAAGTCAGAAGTTGTGATAGGTTGGGAGTTGGATAAGAAGGTAAAAAGTTAATAGATGGGCCAGGACAGAAATAGTAGTGACAGTGTAGCCGTTTTAAGCACAACGTTGGTCGAGGGATTGACTCAAATTGTCTCTTTGTAGTAGCTTGGTGCGGAGAATGGCAACATTCACTGATGCTGCTGACGAAACTTCGGAGAATGCACCAAGTCCACGGCCTGATGCTGAGAATTATGATAACTACTATGGCAGAGAACTTCAGAAAGGTGCGTTCTTCTAAGTCCCCCTCACAAAAATACCAAGTTATGAAAACGAGGTCAACCCACTTTGATGCAACTATTGCCTGATTTATCACCATACCATAATCAGAAAGGTGTACATATGATGGGTATGCGATATGCCCACTCCTCCAAGACTTTCGTCAGCTGTACTCGTATCAACGTTGAAAAATTGTATTATTAGTTCTTCATCACCTTAACCGAATAAAGGCTATGTGAAATTTAATGGAAACTTCAGCTCTACTCATATCATTGTGGGAAGATTCTTCTACCAGTCCTTCATCACCTTAAACGAAATATGGTGAATACATATCGTATTACTGAGTTACTGGTAGTCTCGAAACTTCACTTACATACGATTAATAGCTCTATTACCTTGGACATCGGTTTGGAGTTTTACATATCTACTTACATTGATATACCTATGTTTGAATACTTTAAACTACTCACAAATACTAAAGAAGGCGTGAATTTAAAAGAAATAAGAATCTTTGATCATTCTGCATGGTCTATGCTAGGCCTATATACCTCTAAAATCACCATAGTTTTAATGCATTTATTTA